GAACAAAATCATAAACTATTTCAATGCTCAAATTCAGCAAGCATAGACAAAGGAAGATACCAAAGACTGGTAGGAAAATTAATTTATTTGTGCCATACACGTCCAGATATCACATATGCAGTGAATGTTGTTAGTCAATTTATGCATGACCCATAAAAGCTTAATATGGATGCTGTTGAGAGGATTTTGAGATATTTGAAGTCTACTCCTGGAAAAGGAATTTTGTTCTCACATCATGGAAACTTAAAGGTAGAAGGGTACACTGATGCATATTGGGCAGGTTCAAAAGATGATAGAGGATCTACCTTTGGATACTTTGCTTTTGTAGAAGGGAATCTTGTAACTTAGAGGAGTAAAAAACAACTTGTAGTAGCAAGATTTAGTGTTGAAGTAGAATTAAGAGGCATGACACTAGGTGTATGTGAACTTTTATGGATTAAAAATGTGCCATCAAATTTGGGCTTTAAACCAAATGAAGCTATGAGTTTGCACTGTGACAATACTTTGGCTATAGCAATTTCTCACAATCCTGTGCAACATGATAGAACAAAGCATGTGGAGATTGATAGACATTTCATTAAAGAGAAGCTTGAAGCTATAATAATTTCATTTCCTTTTGTAAGATCAGAATTGCAGTTGGCTGATGTTCTCACCAAAGGAGTGTCAAGAAGATTGTTTAATGAGTCTCTATTCAAGTTGAGAATGTGTGATATCCATGCACCAACTTGAGTGGGGGTGTTAAGATATGCTAAATATTCTATTAAAAGATATTAGGCAATCAAATATTGTGTTAGTTATAATTTAGATATTATTATAATTTGTGCAGATTTGTCCACCTGTCATTCCTTTAATAGATGAAGAATTATAGGATCATTGTATGTATATATATGATATTCTACTATTTCAAATAATACATCAGAATTATTCTTTAAACCTTTTAATACATAAACCTCTCAATTTCATCAATTAGGTATTCAGTTTCAGTTCTAGGTGCAAATCATATTTCCAATACATCAAGAACCATAATTCATGCATGGATAGCTAAACCAAAGCAAGCATTAAACATAGAAATTAAATACTAATATGAATTGGAAAAACATATATCATTAACATCACAAAATACATAAGAATTCCATGTTTTACTACTAATCTCAACAAATAGGAAAAATCCTCCATGGTGGATAACTTATGGTTCTACAAAATTAAAGAGAAAGAAATTGAAATCATAGAGAGGTGCACAACCTTTCCCAAGGTTCTTTGTAGCTGTTCCATGCTCCAATTGTGCTTTCCCTTCACATTTTCATTTCCAATTCATGACTCATCTTCTTCCTCAACCCAAAAAGGGGCAAAATCACCATTGATTAAGCTTAAAGACCTAAGGAGGATAATGAAGAGCTTCCCAGCACTCCAAACAACCTCCAAGGGTCTCTTAGTAGCTCTAGGTGAGGAATGAAGTGTAAGAAGAGAAGAATTCCCAAAAATCTCATGAAAACCTAACTAAATACCCATTTTTTGTGTTTTTAGATTGATAGACTCACCCAATGAGCATCAATTCTTGCCCAGTGAACATTGCCTAGTGAATAATGAATAGTGCCAAAGAAATACTTTTGTTTACTCATTGTGTTCGCAGCACGTGACTCTTATGACACCTAGTGTGGATATTCACTTAAAATCAATCTTTTGTTGTTCAATAATGTTTCCTTAAGTTTTAACTTATTTTCCTCTGCTAGAATTGCTTTCTATTTTCTTATTTTACACTCAAAGAGAAATCAGAAGTAAAACAATCATGTACTAACTACTATACAAAAAAACACACTAAATTTAGGGATTAAACAAGATAAAATTTATGAAAAAGTTAATTTATTTACCAAAATATAAACACAAAAACATGTAAAATCAACCATTATCATATAAGATTAAAAAGATTATATTTTTGAAAATTAATTTTCTACTTTTAAATTAGTGAAAATTAATAAAAGATTTATTTGTAAAAGATTATTCAATTAATTTGAAAAAGATTATTCAATATCAGGTAAGTAAAAACTTTTAAAAAAATTATAAAATTTATGGATAAGATAGTAAATAAGTGGGGAATTGAGTAAGTATTCATAATAGAATTAAATGTATTTATAGATTTTAATTCATTGAATAAAGGTTCAGAAGATATAATTAGTTATTGAATACTTGTTTGATGTTACATTATAATTAAGTTATAAAACAAATATATTCAAGTTTTTCAAATAACAAAAATATTGTTATGTATATTTGATTAGTATATATTTCCAAGTATCTCGAGATAAGATAGGTACATAAATCTTCCAAGTTCAAAAGCTATAACTGAGATGCAAATGGACTAAATTTTGTGGATCAAGAGTTTTAGTATTTTGTTGAGTTTTGGCTTTGACTAATTAATTCCATGGTTGTATTTTCACAACCATTGTTTGAGGTCAATGTTGTCGTGTGTGTTGAAGGTGTGATTCTCATTGTACATTAATGATGGATTTTTACATCTTTGAGACAAACGACTTTTTAGGGGATCACTTTTTTCGTACTATGTTGCCCTAGGACACAATGTTTTATGTGAATTTATCAAAATCTCTGTGCGAGCATTGCTCTTTCGTCTTCTTCTCTTACATATCATCTAATATCTTCTTCTTTCTCTAATGGGTGATTGACCTATAATGTTATATTTTTACCAGATGGGAACCCTTTATATTTGAAAAATAATACTTTGACATCCATAATTATTCACATTCATTTTATTTGATATTATTATTATTTTTATTTTTTATTTTCTTTTTTTAAAAAATATAAAAATTTACTATTTTGTAATTATTTTTACTCTTATAATATATGTGTCATTCTACCGTTATTCTTTATATTTACCTCTCACTTGCTTTGTTTCATTTACCCATCACTTCATATTAATACCTTAATTATGTTGCAAAAGCTATTTTAGTTTCCTAATTTTACCTTCTATCTAATAAATTTTCGTGGACAACTTTATCGTGATCGATTTCTTTTTGAGATATTTTACTTATTTATTATGTTTTTTTAGAAAAATAAATGAAAATTAAAAAGTAATAGTTTAAAGTAAGAAAAACCAATAGAGTAAAAGAAATACTTAAAAAAAATCTATGAAAAAATATTCAAAAACTTAAGAACCTTGATTAAAACTTATTTAACAAATTAATTAGTTTTAAGAGATGCTTGATTTGGTAAAGCAAGTAAGGTCTGGTAATTATTAGTAATGAGATATTGGTTTGACATTTATGTCTTTATGACGAGATAAATAAAACATCCTCTAATTATCTTGAGTCTATAACCTTTTCTACTTTAAAATATGATAAAAAAAATTAAAATTTAAAACTATTTTGAAGCTATCATATTACGTTAAAATTATAATTTTATACAACGGTTCTAACCAGTAAATAATTCTTAAACATTCAACTGAAAGAAGATAAAAAAGTGAGGATGAAAAATAAAAGAAAAGATACTAACTAAGAGAGACTCCCCATGCCATCCTCTATAGTTTTAGAGTAATTTATTATTTATAATAAAGTTAAAATTAAATTATGATATAGAATTTGTGGGGCAACTTAAGTTAGGGTATGAGTGAGTGATTGCAATAGGCAGGAGAAATAAGAAGTGGTATAGAAGGCAGTAACCACAAGCATGTCATGTGTAATAATATAACATAGCAGTAGCCAGTTGCCACCACAGACCATAATGAGGACAGCGCTATTCACGAAAGAAATGCGATTGAAGACGAAGCATATCCCCTCTACAAAATTATTCAAGATGCTACCACCTACTTCATCTCACCATTAATTGCATCTTCTATCCTATTTCAACAGACATTTCTTGCTTATCCGTTTCGATGCTTTGCCATGTACGCCAAACCAAAAACAAACACCCGAATAAGTTAGACACAGAGATGTCAGTAGCATGAACCAACTTCATGCAATTAAAGACTTTCATTGCAACACTATGAACCCAGGCCTTATCCTATCAACAAGTTCATACAGCCTTTTCCAATTATTGCAGTTAAAGAATCCCGCATTTTAATCGATTTCACTTCTATTTCTCTCTACTCAATTAATCACCCAGCCTCCACTTTAGTGCAAGCTACATCACCATCGCTGTCACCTCCTCTAGTTCAATTAGTGAACTCATACAAAACATATTAAAGGATAATTTTTCTGAAGGGGAAAATAACAAAGAAATAATACGACACAATGTTTTGAAAAAACTACATACATTTACCAGGAAAAAATAATTCTTCTGCTATTTTCCAAATAATAACGAAGTCAAAAATAAATTTATAAATGTTTTGAAGTTATTGCGATATTGCTACACACATTCTCTTACGTTTACAGTTGTGCATAACTATGATTTTTCAATTTTTATTCATCACTACACACAAGTTCCTATAACAAATAATGGAAAAAGCGTAATACAATATTTCCTACATCTCTGTCTGGTCAGTTTCTTCCTGCAGCTACTTTTTTTTCCTGCATCCCATAGAAATAAACTTCTGATTTTGTCCTTTTTGTACTGTACAATAAAAATACAAAATAAATTGAGTTATACAATTTCAAAGTTTTCACAATCCGAAAGTCATTTTCTTCTGTAAAATATAGTAATTGAATTACAAAATCTAGTAGAAGTCAAAATGATTTTCAAAGTGTGTAATCTAAAAGTAAAAATTAATTTTCCCATTTTGTAATTTAAAAGTTATTAACTTTCAGATTACCAATCTAAATCATTTTTGGCTTTTGGATTGTACCATTTAAAAGTCTAAAATAACTTTTGGATTACAAAAGAATAAAATGGAAAAAAAAATTACAGAACTGCAGATAGAAAGTTATCACTAATATCATATGCAGTCCCAGCTAGAACGCAACAATCAGCTGGGTTATTTTTTAAAGATAAAAACAAATGGCTTAGAACAGGTATACAAAAGGCGCCCTCTAGCTGTAACGCAGGAAGAGAAATAATTTTCAAAAGAAAAATGAATGAACTACAAATGTAATTTATTACATTAAACATTATTTATGCTTAATATTTTACATTCTGTACTTTTTTGTATAAACTCTCCGGGATAAAACATGATCCTCTACGACTTCCGTTAGTCCTAAACATGATCCACAATGACCAATGTCAAAGAAAAAATATTATGCTGGATTGTGCATAACTTGAATAGCTTCGTGTTCTTTTTGGAAGAGCAATTTGGATGGAAAGGATATTTGCTCGCCGTATTAGGCACAGCTCTTGCTAAACTCCAGGCACCATCAGTCCATCATGCAAACGTCATTTTAATCATGTAAACTAAGCAAAAGCACTCAAATAAATAGGATCGGCTCCTTTGTTACTTCGCCTGTCAAAAAGGGGAAGGGGGAAAAAGTTAAGACCGTTCTCCAAGCCTCAAGCAACGCAGCTATTAAATTTCTTTATCTCGTGATACCTATGTAATAAGGTGTACGCTCATCTCAAGGTATATTCCTTGTAATTTTGATAAAGCAGAAGGATAACACTACTGGGAGGTGAAGGAACCTGTGCTCCAAAAGCCATGTAACTTTTTCGCATCTACACCACGTAAACCAATTGACTAATTGAAACATCATTAGCATTGCGCAAAAAATTAGCCTTGCGCAAAAAATTAGCCTTGCAGAATTTTCTTGAATTATCAATTTCATGATAAAAATAGTTCATCAGATTCCATTGGAGATGTCCAATACCGCAGCAGTGCTTCTACAGTCAACCTCCGAGTGGCACTTAGCATTGAGATAAAAAACCGACAACCATCAATTTTATACTCTTCAAGAGGATTTCTATGGCCAAAGCTCCTAATGTTCACCTGCCACAACTCTGAGATAAGCCTTTAGCTGGTAAGAAAGCCAAAATATTTGAGAGCAAAAGGACATATTACCGCAGAGCTGAGTCTATTCATGTTTACAAGATGATCTCTCCAGAAACAATCAAGAGTTTGCAAAAGAACAGCTCTCTGTAATTAAGAAAATATTAAATGTAATAAATATTTTACTTTTAAGATAGAGAAACTGAAAACTCCAGAGATGGGGGAACAAGCAGCAACTAGAATAGAGTGAGCCAAAACAGATAATAGAAAACAATCTTATACTGTATATGGTATCAATGCAAAATTTACTATTTGTACAAAACGCATCAAAGGTTCTCCAAAATAGAAAAATGTTCATGTACAGATCCCCTTAAATCAATAGAAAGGGAGGAGCATTCATCACAGTAAAAAACAGAATCTAATACTAATTACTAACAACCATTGGGATGATTTTATTCATCATTACTGCAGTAAGACTCAATATTTCCTTTTCTACTTTAAAGGATAGGCAATGACTGTGTAGGCCGGTATGATTACTATTGGAGTATCATTTCCCTACAGTACAGATTTTGGATCATAGCTTTGTAAATCTAATATGTCTAAGTAACTGTCAAAAATAAAAATTTCATTGTGTTTGAGTGTGGATGTTTAGGATGGAAAAACAGATGGTAATACTGATGAGAAAATGGAGTAAAACATTAGGCACACTCACTTCAATTCCTCTTAACTCAAGGCAAACTATTGTTCTATGGGCTCTATGTTATTCCTTTCCTAGGTCATTATATCAAAATGGTTCTCTAGAATCTATTTTCAATTTTCATTGCCTAGTTGTAGCTGATAGTACAAAGGGTCTGTTTGCACAAACTTATCTTGAAACACTTAAAAAAAATGAAATAGGTTTTACCAAAAGCTTAAATTATGCATAAGTTAAAAATCAGATTTTAGAGAAACTCAAGAAAAAGTTTTACTAATTAACTTGTGCATAAATTAGTTTTTAGCTTATTCATTTCAAATTTTCTTTTAATTTGTTTCTACTAGAAGTATTTATGATTAATCCTAACATTGAACATACTCCCACCGATCCTTAATATAAAAGTTTAAAGCATAATTTACAGGTAATTGATAGTCCCTTTTACAAGGCTTTTTATAGTATCTATGAAGCATTAGATTTCTGTTCTGTCTTTGTCCCTAATAAATATTAAGAATGTGTTTTTTTATTAATAAAGAATGAGAAGAGAATTTTAAAAGTTATCCATAATAAGAGTAAATTTGGTACATTGTTTTAAAAATTCAACAAAATCAACTGAATTAAATATTTTTATTGGTCCATGTGATTGTATAAGTCACTTACATCAAGGATCGGACCTGATGAAGTATCATGTTTTAATGTTTATGATTGGTTTCGAAATCTTTGAATGCAATTGCACTGAAATGAAATAATCCGTTTATGGTACTAACACAACTTTCTGTACGATTGAAGCTATTATTTACGTTAGTAAATATAAGGCAGGCAACAAAATGTTCAATTACAAGAAAAAATAGTTGAATAGAATATCTTACCTCAATTTCCTTTGCATGTGTCTCATCATAACCAGACTCTTCAACAACATGTAGATATGAAGCAATTAAAAAATCTCCAAGATACTTGCGAAGAAGATTAGAAGTGGTTTGATACTTCCCATTCCTACAATATGCTAATGATTAGTGACTATTAGAACTCCATTAAACTTCTATAATCCACAGTAAATTAAGTAGTTTACCCAATTAAATCATCTGCGCAAATAGCAAGCCATCGTCTTAATGACGAGCTCTTCCTGCGTATTCCCCTGAAGGCATTTGGAGGCGCTGGCAAATTTGGAAGAGAAAAGTTTACAATATCAACTGAACTCACATCATTTAGTAGCCCAAGTGAATTTAGCAAAGTGTGATCACTAATTCCTTCAAAAGATTCTGCCAAAAACCATTTCAGCGTGTCATAAGAAAAAGTTGGTTTAGCCAAACACAGAAAGTTAAAGAGGTTGATATATTTGTGCAGGTGAAAGGGCTTAGTTGTAGCAAATAAGCCTACCATGCAACAGCTTTCCACCAACAGTCACGAACTCTTTCAAGAGCTTACTCAAACCCCAGCTACGTGGATGCTGTAAAATCCATTCAAATCAATAGATTAAAGGAATGGGTGGATAAGAAATATGCAAAATGCTATAGGAAAAGCTGAACCACCTTCACTGGATCAATATTATTGAAGACGATCTCGTCAACCACTGCTTGCATGTACCTATAGGCAGTGCACACAAATCAAAGAAAGAAGGGAGGAAAGAGCAGTAGAAAAGAAAATATAACTACATAAGAATAAATCTCAATCACAAATAGGTGAACAAAAGTCAATGACTCCTATTCCAGTCTCAACAGTCAACACCCTTGTAAGTAAAAAACCCAAGCTAATTCAGCATCAGTTTCTAGACGCAGGTCAGGATCATGTATGTTATAACTTTAAAGCAGAAAGAAAAGGTCCAAGAAGCTAACTCTTGTGTATCTTATTGAATTAATTCACATTTTATATTACTTATTGCGGCCCAACTCAGAATACGAAGGTAAAGTTATTATTTATATCATAGTATCAATATTAGAGTAGGGTTAGAACTTAGATTTTCAATGAATACAGGAAATTATAATTATGATAGTGCCAAAACCAAGTACACAAGAAATATCTGTTTCAGGCCAGGTTAGTGAGTCATATCAAGAATTGAAATTATTCATGCTCCAAAGAAATGATAAAGACTCGGAATAGACTTTTAGCTGGAAAGATTGAGTCGGACCATACCTCAAATGAATTTCATCCTAATATTGAATAATAAAATAAGACATCAAAATGCCAAAATGTTTGAACAAATAGAATAAAAGACAAGAGACATTAAAATTTAAACTAAAAATAAATTAACCTGAAAAATAGCTAAAGATTAAAATGAGAAAAGTGGTTTGTCCTACTATGACCAGTATCAATAACACCAGAACTTGAAGGTTCCCTGCGAACATGATTCATCATCCCCCACAGAATTTGTACTTAAGAGTCTAGCTTGTAATGTGAAGACAGGACAAGTTTTATATGCTGTATTTAATCCATATTTCTAGTTGATGTTAGATCAAACACAACTCGTGAGATTACCAGTAACGCAACTCCCAAAGAGGCTGCAGCTAAGACTGGACTAGAGTGACAGCAACTAAGGCAGCTTTCCAACCCTCTCCATCCACCCACACATACACTTAGTCTACAAGCCTAGAGTGTGCCAATGTAGGTGGCCAACAGTGGATCTAGAATAAGACTTGATTCCATCATAGAAGTCAGACTTAAGACTTAATTAAACTCCACAAAACTTTAAAAAATGAGAAGTGTTCTAGTTTTATAAGCTCTATTTATGTCATGTCTCTAGTTGATATGGAATTAAACACTGCTTTTGATATTTCAATTGAGGCCACCAAAGATGCTGCAACTGAGGTAGGTTAAGGGTGACCTCAATCAAGGCGGCATTCCAATAATCCTTGATAGACATTATCAAATGGTAGGCACAAGATAGTAGGCAACTAGGCACTAGAGATTTAGAAGAAAGCTAACAATGAAACTCTAGGTCCAACCATGAGCTATATTAATTACAAAACAGAATCATCTAATTTAGAGCTAACTAATACTTTATAGTCACCTACAAGGCAACAATAATAGCTTAAATTACTCATCATATAAGTGCTTAAACCTAACAGCAACAATGAGAATTTAAAGGCACTCACTGGAGTATGTGTTGGGAACAGCTTTCATCATCTCCTGTTAAGATTAATTGCCTTAGGTCATAAACATGCTTTCGTTGCACCTTATAAAATAATAATACAAAAAAAAAATTAGTTGATAATGATTTTGCATACTTAAAGATAAATTCCACAATTCTATTCTTTATAAGTGGGCAAAATTTTACTCAATGACACACATATATATAGAGTTAAACATTTATGAATGTGACTCATATAAGTCGTCAGAAAATTATTTCTCAACGATATGTTAATTTTATCATACTGATTACTGAATAAATAGGAGATGGCACAAAAATTATATTTTGGGAGAATTAACAGACTGATATCCCTTAGATTTCTTTGTCCATTACTGCTCACAATTCTCCGATCAAATATTTGTTTATTAAACATGATTCTGTATGCTCCTGCAATTTCCATATTTTTAAGAACCCAATATGATAGATAAGCTAATAAACTTCGGCCCCTTTTGGCCTTATTTGACCGTGCTCCTTTATTGGTTTATCTTGTATGAGAATATGAAACAATTCTACTCTTTCTTTTTCCAATATTACTTTGTTTCTCAAACATTCTCCCAAAAGGTGAATCTTTGCCTTGGATGTGCCAACTTTGAATTCTAAAGCTTCTTCTAAGGTCAAAACATTCTTTTATCAATACTAATGACATTCTGCAGGCTAGATGGCCCACATTTCTTTCTCTATGCTAATATATATGTCATGTAGATTTGAATCTGAAATTGTGCTTGTTTGTTTCTCCATTGCCAATCTATGTGATTCCTTTGGAATAAACTATTTTTTTCATTTTCAAAGTATTTGGTTTGTTCTAATTCATTTTATCAATTTCAGCAGATTCATTTTTAGGGGTTTGGCAAGAAGCAACATGAAATCAAGTAAAACGTGTGTTAGAGAGTGGAAAGTGTATGAAAGGAGGAGAAAACATTAATTACCTAACTGTTTAGTAGTTAGGTAGGGCTGGAAGTATATCTGTGTATATAAGGTAGAGTTGTGGAGTTGTAGGGTACGATTGAGTATATTCTTTTGTTAGTTGCAGGACACATTGTCCTGGGAGGGGGATTAGGCTCCCTAGTGACTGGCTATACATGATTGTGGGAGATAATTCAATACAGAAACTATTCTTTTCATAGACGCATACCTGTGATTACTGTGTGTTAGTGTGTCTTGAGTGGGTTTCTCTTCCAAGAAACCTAACAACGTGTGCCAAGGAAAATGTGTGTTAAGAAGTGGATTTTAAACCTAACTCAACCCCACAAAACCGGCTTGTAAGGTGAGGTTTTCAACCACACATATACTATAAATTGGCCTGATCTCTAGTCGATGTAGGACTTCCAACACACACTCTCACATGAGGTACATACATCTCGTGCATGGAACTAGACATTAGTGGGTGGTTTGATAGCGACCCGATAGCAAGTGAAATGATATGCCCAACAAACACGAATCTCGCTAGGATAAGCTCTAACTTATGACTCTGATACCATGTTAATAAGAAGTAGGCTTTAAGCCTAACTCAATCTCACAAAACTGGCTTGTAAAATGAGGTTTGCACCTACATATATACTCTAAATTACCTTGATCTCTAGTCGATATGCGACTTCCAACAGTGTGTAAAACGTTGTATCTGTTTTATTTTCAAAGAATATAATACTATCATTGTAGTTGATAGTTGATTGTAGTATGTCGGTTCAATTGACACCAAGTGCAAACTTTTGTACCTACACATCTTAATAATTGTCAAATAGAATATGAAATTAAAAACCAACTTGATGGGGGGGATCTCCAACACAGGCTCTGCCATGACAATCGAAAAGAGAGTCCACAAGGGAACAAATGCTGGGGGAATAACATTTTTCTCAATTTATTGTGTTTTTCAGGACCTTTGCCACTAGGGAAAACATCTCCTTATGACTAATCCCATAAGTTTGGGTATATCCTTTTGCCACCAATCTAGCTTTATATTTTTCTATTGTATCATCTGCCTTATGTTTCACTGTGAATAGGGTGTAGATGGATATTCACAGTTCGAGTTGTTCTCACTTTGGCTGCTCATTTTGGATGAGACTTACACCAGTTGGATGAAACAAGGTATGCCTCCTAAAGAAAGCATTGTATTGTCTTAAGCAATTCCCTAGAGCATGGTTTGGAAGATTTACAAATGCAATGGTTTCCTTGGGATACAGACAAAGCCAAGGAGATCATACTCTATTCATAAAGCACTCTTCTACAAGTAAACTCACTCTATTGCTTGTCTATGTGGATGATATGATTATTGTAGTGGATGATATGATTATTGCAGGAGATGATGAAACAGAAAAACTATCATTAAAAGAAAAACCGATAGCCCAATTTGAAAGGAAAGACCTAGGAAAACTCAAATGTTTTCTTGGAATAAAAGTTGCTTACTCCAAGAACGGAATTTTCATCTCCCAAAGGAAATATGTTACTTGATCTCCTCAAAGGAATAGAAAAATTGGGATGTTGAACCTCGACAATTCCTATAGAATAGAATCACAGAATTGCAAGTGAAGAAAGTGCTCTGGTAGAGAAGGCCCAATATCAGAGATTGGTAGGAAATTTAATTTATCTATCACACATAAGACTAGACATTGCTTATGCAGTTAGTGTAGTGAGCCGATTTATGCATGACCCAAGAGAGAGACATATGCAAGCAGTTGAAAAAATTCTCCAATACTTAAAGTCAAGTCTAGATCAAAAGGGAAGACACATTGACTATAAAAATATATACTGATGCTGACTATACAGGTTCTATTACTGACAAAAATCTACTTTTGGGTATTGTGTCTTTCTTGGAGATATATGCAAGCAGTTGACAAAATTCTCCAATACTTGAAGTCAAGTCGAGGAAAGGGGCTACTATTCAAAAGGGAAGACACATTGACTATAAAAAATATATACTGATGTTGACTATGCAGGTTCTATTTGATACGTACCCAGGTGTTAGGGAAATCAATGAACCCTTGATTCAAGGAGGAGGAAATAATAAAAATAGGTGGGGCAGAGTTTATAAGAGGAGAGAAAAGGGTAACGTGGCTTTGTGAGGGTGTTAAATATAGTGAAGAAGATTAGGAGAAATCTCCCTTATGTGTTTAGCATACACATAGGGTAGTTTATTTATAACGTAGATAAGGGTTAAACCCTAAATACAGAATGGGCTAAGCCCAATTACAAAACACAACAACTTAACACTCTAACACTCCCCCTCAAGCTGGAGCATATAAATATATGTTCCAAGCTTGTTACAAAGATAGTCAATTCTAGGTCCTCGTAAGGACTTGGTGAATATGTCTGCCAACTGGTTTGCTTGAGTAACGAACTCAGTCTTGATATCTCCGGATATGATTTTTTCTCTAATAAAATACAATCAACTTCAATGTGCTTGTTCTCTCATGGAAGACAGGGTTAGAGCTAATATGAAGAGCAGCTTGATTATCACATATAAGTGTCATGTGAGTGGCATCTCCAAATTTCAATTCATTAAGTAATTGTTTAAGCCACACAACTCGCAAGTAGTCATATGCCATACTCTATATTCTGCTTCTGCCTGGACCTGCCACAACACTTTCTTCTTACTTTTCCAAGATATCAGGTGCCTGCCACCAATAGAGACACAATATCCAGAAGTAGACCCCTATCAGAAGGGGAACCAGCCCAATCAGCATCTGAATAGCAACCGATTTTTGTATCGTTGTTAGGGCCATATAGCAAACCTTTTCCAGGTGATCTTTTAATATACTTCAGTATGCGAACAACTGCATCCCAATGGTCTTTACATGGGGAGTTTAGAAATTGACTCACCACACTAATGCGAAGGAAATGTCAGGACGCGTAACAGTAAGATAGTTTAATTTACCAACTAATCTTCTGTACCGTTCAGGATCTGAGAAAGGCTCTCCCTGATTTGGTAAGATTTTGATGTTAGTGTGTCATAGGTGTCCCAACAGATTTCAGTTCATTAACCTGTTTCCTCCTCCAAGATGTCTAACGCATACTTCCTTTGAGATATGACAATACCATCATTGGATGTGCTAGCTACTTCAATATCCAAAAAGTACCGGAGTTTGCCAAGATCTTTGGTTTGAAAATGAGACAAAGGTGTTGTTTCATCGAGAGAGCGAGATAGTCACTTCTATGATAAACAATATCATCACATACACTATTAAGTAAATACATCCAGCACTTGAGTGGCGATAGAACACTGAATGATCCGCTTCACTGCGAGGCATACCAAATTGCTTGAACAACAATCTGAATTTACCAAACCCGGCCCAGGAGATTGTTTTGGCCATATAAGGATTTGCGAAGACACAATACCAATCCAGATGACTCCCCCGAGCAACAAAGCCGGCGGTTGCTCATATAATTTCTTCATGTAAACACCATTTAGGAAAGCATTTTTACATCACGTTGGTAAAGGGCCATTGTCGAAGAGCGGCCATGGCAATGAATAGGCGAACAGAGGTCATTTTTGCCACTGGAGAAAAAGGTATCACCATAATCCAAACCAAAAATCTGTGTGTAGCCTTTGGCAACCAGTCGAGCTTTCAGACGATCAATTGGTGCCATCAGGCCAACCTTGATAGCATACACCCACCTGCAACCAACAACAGACTTTCCAGATGGTAATTGGACAAGCTCCCAAGTTCCACTTTTCTTAAAGCACTTAATTCATCCACAGCTAGCTTGACGCCAGCCAGATGACTTAAGGCATCACCCACAGATTTAGGAATTGACACAGAAGAATGATAGAAGACAAGTGTAAAAAGATGGAGATAATCTGTGGTACTAAGAACAGTTAATGGGGGGAAGGGTTACGGGGTAGAGCGTATACCTTTACGGAGGGCAATAGGCAAGTCAACTCATTTGCTGGAGCCGGAGGAGACACAGGAGGCGGCACTGGAAGTGAGTCATGAGGGAGACAATTGCGGCGACGATAAACCTGAATGGGTGGTGGTGAAGGACGATCTTGTGGTGATGAGAGTCTAAAGAAGGAGACAAAATGGGTGGAGCATCACTGAGGAGGATCACAG